AATTTATAGGCGATCTATGCTCATTAAGAAAAAAAAAAAACGTAATTAAACGTGATAATGCAGTAATAAAATCGAATTTTATTGTCGGAATCAAGTAAGCTTTCGTCACAAAGTTCTGATAATAAAAAAATGTGACACAGCTCCGACGGCAAGTTAACAATCGATCGCAATTTATTTATGCGGCCTCATTAATGGCGGCCCATTCGCAGCCATCCGAAAAACCGTTGCGAGCGCAGAAAAAGAAACGAAAAATGAGGAGGAGGAGAAACCCATTAGCAAAGAATTCACAGCGATCGCCAAAAATGCAGAAGGCCTCGTCGGGATCGCGTCGTTTTACTCGTTCCGCCTTGCTACTCTCCTCCTGGTGGAGGAGGTCAACTGTTTTATTGGCTAAGGGTCGCGACGCACGCCCTCGGAGCCATGGTTTCGGTTAACCGAGCCAAACCCCCGAAATCGGAGCGACGAATTATCGCCTTGGTTAACCTCCGTTCGCGCGGTCCGTCTTTTTCCTTTATCCGTCGTCGCCATCCCGCCGGATATCCCTGCAGTTCCCCTGCCCCATTGATTAAAAACTGCTCGCCGAGCGCTTGCAATTTTCCCGAGAAATACCGTAGTCAGCGGTACCGTACATTTGGTGTTTAGCAGCAAACGAGGTTGTTTGATTATCGCGTTCATATAGATACTGCTATCTCTCCGTATCGGAAAAAGGATAAAAGTGAAAGAGACAAAGAGACTTGGATTCAATAATGAACACGTCACGAGGAGACAGCTCTTACACATTAAACATAACGCATATAATCGCGTAATTTATATTATTAAATTTATAATATCGAAATTCTCTAGTCTGTTTTCCTCCGAATTAAATAAAAATTGTTCCTGAGCATCGATAATATCTGCGAATATTTTTTTCCCTCGTACCACGCGTACGATTTATAAAGAATGTACGTGGACGCGCATGGACGCGCGATAGTCGCATTTTTTTCGCATTCCTACAAAATATCAACTCGTCCCGTATGCATATTACGTGTCTGATCGCTACAGCCAGCCTAATAACACTGCAATTCGAGTAGCGCAAGGAAAAAAAGGTTTCCGCCGTTGCACGCACGAGAATGACGGACGGACCAAGTGCTTACGCACGTGTGCGCGCGCGCACACACACACACACACACACACACACACACACACACACACACACACACACACACACACACACACACACACACACACACACACACACACACACACACACGACTCTCCGACTACACGCCGGCAGGCTCGTGCTTGTACGGGACCTTTAGCGGCTCGCAAGCCGCAGTCGGGACGATCAATGACAACCTCTCTCTCGCTGCGTCCTCGTCAGATTCACCATAGGCATGGTTAGTCCGCATTCTATCTCTACTATCTCCCCTACTCTTTCTCTCTCTCTCTCTTTCTCTTTCTCTAGGCTTCATAATCACGAGAAAGAAAGATGACGCGGCGGAACGAAGAAAGAGGATACCAGCGCTCCCTCTCAATCAAGATAGACGCGCGAGAGGCTTAGCACCGGGAGAGGAGGCGAACACGAGCGCGGTGGCGGCGTTTCTCTTCGTGAGGGGAGCAAGCGAGAACGTCTCGAAGCCACAGCCGACGAAGCTCGACGAGAGGGGAGACTTATACCGCTTCGGGTCTCGGAGTCTCTCCGTAGTCGGTGAGCGGGGGCGGGTACTGGAAGGAAGGAAGGGTGGCCGGTGTGGAGACTGTGGTGCGAGAGAGGCACGGAACCGCGTAGCGAGAAGAAAGGAGAGCGCAAGCGACCGGTAGACCGTACACGGAGCGGGACGAAACAGCGAGAAGGATGGAGGAAGGGAGGGGGAGGATGAGAGGGGAGACAAACGCGGAACAGGAGGAAGCGAGGCAGGACGGACGGGAGGAAGAGCCGCGGCCTGTCTGTGCCTCTGCTTCGGAAAGTGACTAATGACTAGCCGGCCAGACCTACTCTCCTGCCACCCTCGAGGCGAGCGAGCAAGAGGGACCGAGTGGAGCAGAAAGAGGAGGAAAGGCTCCTCTCTCCCGTGAGAGTTATCGCGGTGGCAAACCTTTCCTCTCCGCCGTTGTTATCTCGTGGCCCTCGACGACGGTCAACCGTGAAAAATGAGTGTCGCGAGCGGGTGATATTTTGCGGGACGCCGTGGCGAAGGACGGAAATGGAGTGGGAAAGAGAGAGAGAGAGAGAGAATAAAGGAGGATGGAAAATCTCGGAGGCACGCAAAATCCCGTGGATGTTGCCGACGCCGTTGGGCGGGATGGCGGGGTGGAATGGATCCTCTTCGTTCCGACCACCCGGAACTGTGAATCCCGATCGAGGGCGGGCGGGCGAGCGAGCGGAGCGGCGGAATTCTAAGCGCGCCCGCCGCGCTCTTCCTTTTCCGTGAGAAAGAGTGCCGCTTCGGCGCCCGGAATCCCACGGCACCGCGACGCGCGCGTCAGAACCACGCAAACGGCAATCGTGAGGTATAACTAATAGAACTGCAATTTTAGAAGGGACGACACGAAAGAGATATCTGAAAGGGATATCCGTGGTCACCACTCCTTCCCGCTTATGTGAACGTATATTCGCAAACTCTTTACGCAAAAAAATATGCAGTATCCATCGTTTAGTTTTCTCGCTATATCGCAGCAGCACAAGTATTGAAAAAAATAGACGACGTACGTTTTAGTTTAGTAATAATCTATATAATCGTTTAGTAATTCTATATATTGCGAAATTCCAAAATCTAGTACGACGAACGTTCAACGAACAGTCGAATAACTTTGCCTTTGCGTTCTAATAAATTTGCTGGTTCGGCAAATTTATCGAGGTGGAAATACCGAATAAAATAAGACTGTATTCCCGTTGGTAAATCGCTGACGGAACTTCAGGCGTGAGGTCTGATTTTTGTGAGGTTGGTGGTCGCGTTACGTGATGTACGCCACGTTAGACAGTACCGTGAAAGCGTCCGTCTCTCGCGATAGAGTGAAATGTAATTGAGCAACGGGGAAAAAGTGTATGCTCTGCGAGAGAGCGTCTTACCATTCTACACCTCTCACAGATATACTAATGATAACGCAGCTTATGGCAACGTAGCTTTGATAGTGACGAGAAAGCGAGCATTCGCGACAGGCGATTCTTAACAAAATATTCGGAGATATTTATCGAGGTACCATTAAAAATTGCCGTTAATCGTTAGCTGCTAGTCGTAAGTCGTTTGTTGTAAGCCGTTAAGTTAAAATTGTAATTGCCGTGATAAATTTGGATTTCAAAAACCGTTTTTAAAATCCGTCATATCGAATTAATTTATTAATTGAATTTCATTCGTGAAAAATCGTAAATCAATTTTAGATTAGATTATCATTCCTCGTTTATCGAGGTTATCTGTTAACCTCATGACCAGTTTAATCAAGACATTCCGGCGCGAGTAAATCGCAGAATATTCCCGGAATATCTGGTGCAGGCTCGCGATAGGGTGTGCATGATGACGTGGTGCTGTATAATAGCGAATTTGGTCGGATGCGGTAGTGCGCAACTGGCGCACGTTAAAGGCTGTCGTATCATAAATCGACGTAAAGGCGCGGCACATAGGCGAGAGTTCGGACAATCCGCTCGATACGATCTGTCGCATTGTTTGGGAGAACATTTGAGCGTTTCATCAATCGAAGTAATATTACGTTTAATATCACGTTTTTAGACTGGAATCTATATTAGCATACAACAAGCTTTAATCTTTGCAAGGACGCGCTTAGCGCGTCCAATTGAATTCGCCATGAGTAATTTAGCACGTTATCGGACGGCCTTAAAGTAGCGTGTCGGACATTCACGGGAGAGCAGCGAGAGGAGTTACGGAAGAAGGAGAGAGAGAGAGAGAGAGAGAGAGAGAGAGAGAGAGAGAGAGAGAGAGAGAGAGAGAGAGAGT